ATATCTTGAGTTTATTTTGAGGGTGCTGGGGAATGTTCTGGGGATAGGATGATGGTTTGTGAACACTTGCTGTGGCTGACTGCCCTGGGAAGAGGCTGGACTCCCATGACTCAGGTGTGATGCCGTCCCCTCCTGCGCTGGGTGCCTAAAGCCCGTAGTGGGACTGCTGCCGCATGGCTGATGCTGGCTTGAGCAGTTCTCGAGCTTCAGCCCTGCCACTGAGCAAGCTGGTTTCCAGTTCACCTGGAAGGTGATTTATTGGCTGTGCTGCTTGCATGGATGTTTTTTTCTTGAAGCCTTTAAGTGTCAGGACTCGTGGTAGCAGTGGTGCTTAATGATATCTGGAAATCTGATCCTGTGCATCTCTGCTGGTAGCTGGTTCTCAGATCTTTATGTGCAAGAAAGAGGCGCTCAACAGTGCAACTTCAAGTAAGAATAGAGAACAGTTATTTTCCTGTAATCACAAATGGCTTCAGTTATATTGGATGAGACAGCCAGGGGTGAACCTTTTGAAGTTGGGTTTTTTTTTTAACACAGTTAATTTCGTCTCACAAGTTTGTGCTTGAGGATTGCAAGTATTGGGCCACTTGATCCCATAGAGAGGCCTCTAGCTTGGTTGACCTCAGTAGCGTTAGTAGCGAAACAGTAAGAATTAAATGCTTCTTGGGAGGGCTAAAGATTTTCCCCCGAGTTGTTGGCAAGTCTGTGCCGTGCACGAAGGCCTGGGAAGTCCAGCTGTGTGTGTCTGTTTTCTCTAAGTGCTTAATTTGTAGTTAATGCCCAGTCACTTGTTTTTGCAAATGCTGGCTACACAATACAATACTCCGTGTGTATTTGAGTACATATTGCACGCTGTACCTTCAGATAAGGGTTTCTAAGGATTCATCCCCACCCCGAGGGGAGTGGAGGAGGTGGTGTGTTTTCTCTGCACTGTGTGCTCATCACAGGCTTGCCTGCTCTGCTCCAGGTGTCCCTGCACCTTCTCCCCCTAAAACATTCTCCCTAGCCAGTAGCCGAAATAAATGGTTGCCTGCTTTCAGGTCCTTCCAAGGAAGGTGGAACAGCTCGTATGGCGAAGAAGAAAAAGACAGTTGGAGTGAGGAGGATGAGCTCTTCTCAGATGCAGGTAAGAACAGAGCCCCTGTTGCAGGTGTTAATTGATGATAATCCTGGCTTTTTCGGGCTCATTCACGGGTGTCTTACCTTCTGCGTGACTGAATTTTGCAACCAGAAATCCTAAAAGCCCAAGAAAATAGGTATCTGTCCAAGTCTCAGATATTTGTTCTTTGTACCTCTGACCTGAAATGCATGCCAAAAACTCCTGTTCAGGTGTCAGACTAATCATGCTTAGCTTACAGGATGTAAGTGTGGGAATTGCAGCTCTTGCCCTGTTCCCACTTTAGTGCCATGAAATAAAGGTTAAGTTTACCTTTTCAGCCAGATCAATTTTCCAGTCCAGGTCCCTTTGCAGCTAGATACGCAGCTTAGCTGGTGAAAAGGAGTGGACAGTGGATGTCTGAGTCCAGCCTCAATGTACAGCGTAGCCATATCCTGGGTGGATGCCCCTGTTCTTGACGTATTGGCTAGTTCAAAACAAAACAACTACTTTTCCAACAAATCTTACTGGAAAGCTTTCACATACAGTGATGGGGGCTTGAAACGGAAAGGCTGTGCATGCTGTAGCTGCAGAAAAGGGAAGGATGAAGGAATTTGGTTTTATTGTCTGTCACAGGATGTACTCATTGTAGGCTGGCTGCATTGTACAGCAGTCTCTCGAGGAGGTCTGAGTTATCGTGAAATGTAATCCTCTTGCCTTGTTTTTCAGCATCATTTGGTACAAACAGCCACAACGTTACAGTTTTCGGTTCCAAGAAACAGGTAATGTTTTCACCAAGACCCAAAATCAGGACATGTCTGTATAGAAAAACAAGCTATCGGACAACTTGAAATATGTTGGTGAGGATACTCTGCTGCTCAGACCACTTCCTCAGTGGCCTGCAGTTCACTACGGCAGGGGGAGCTGCTGCAGTGCTTTAAGCGAAGCACCAGAGGCTGGGTTGGAGAGTGATGCTTCCTGAGGCCGGTGCTTGCAATATCCAGGCTTGATCCAGGTCGTGCAGGTCTTCACATTCGCAGAGCTAGCTGGAATTTCTCTGTTAAACAGCCCAGTTTAGTAGTTGGCTAAAGTTATGCATCTCCCACACGCCAGGCACTGGGTATGTGCATGAAATCCCTTTTTGATGGTTCAGGGCTAGGTTTGCTGTGCTCCCCACATGCTGGAGAGATTCAGCATCTTTGTTCGGGTGAGGGACATGCGTACGGCAGCTGTTACCTGGGAAGAGGTCCCATGTTTGGCACTACTAGGAACTCTCACCCTTGTAGGAAGATAGCTGCCGGCTCTTGTGCTACTGTACACTGTGTAGCACTTTGTTCCCTGTAACCTCTTTCCTCAATTATTCCATGTTTTGCCTCTAAAATTCAGGGGACCTGCAGACCTGAACTTGCAGATTCCCCCCCCGACTTGTATGCTGTTACGCAGGACATAGGCAGGGGGTACTATGTGTATCGGACACTTGCTGTTGCATCAAAGGTAACCCCTCTTTTGTGGGATCAGTATTTTGCTTTGGGAAGCAGAACTGCTCCTGAGCTTGTGCTGGAGCTTAGCGCTTCTCTTATTTGTAACAGTTATGAGAGCACATCTACAATGAGGCAATTACTGAGTGCCGTGTGTGCTGCTGACAGGATGTCTCTGCCCTTCCTCCATGTTCCTAGCACAGATGATACAGGGAAGCTAACATGCTAGGAAGGAGTTACAGGACGTTCGCTGCCAAAGGCAGCTCCTCCCTGAAACTGCACTCTGTACTCACAGAGCACTGCTTATCTGCTCTGTTGTAGAAATGGACAATACAGGAGAGTGAGTGGATCAAAGAGGGAGTGAAGAAGTTTGGAGAAGGCAGATGGAAGGCCATTTGCCAGAAATATCCCTTCCAGAACCGCACGGCAGTGATGATCAAGGATCGCTGGCGGACCATGAAAAAGCTGGGAATCCTCTGAAGTTGGGAACCACGAGACCACCTGTGCAAAAACCTTCTTATTTTCCTTTTGAAAGATGGACCGGAGCAATAGTAGTGGGGAGGCTGCTGTGCTCGTCCCTAAGGTGTGTTTGGGCTAGCGTGGCAAGCCCCTCTGGCTCGTGGTAGACGAGCCTGCTGCAGCAGGCAGAAACCACATCTGACAAGAACTGAGGAGCCTTCTGTCTTGAGTTGTAGCTGCGAGATTTAGGTCTTGAAGCTGCGCAGCCTGATTGCACATGCTCGGAAAGGGCCTGGATCGGGACTTCCTTTTCCACCTGACCACTGCAGCCTTTGGAGAATGAATCCCAACCTGATGGACTGCTGAAATGACAGTTTTCTCTGCTCACATGCTGTCAAATGGCACAATAATCCCATCACTGGCTATTTTTATGTGTTTTAATTGTCTAAACTGTGAATTGTTTGTTTCATCTTTTTGCACTCAGTCCCTAGCGGGACAGAGAGGCAGCACATAGTCCCAGAGCTTCTGGGGAGAAGAGATTTAGGTAAGGTGATCTGCTTTGATTTTTTCCCACCCCCCCACTCTTTTTTTTTCTGCTTTGTACATGGCTAGTCTGCGAGTGGGAATTTCTCCCTGCCAGCTTTGAGGCTTTAAAAACATTTTTTTGTTTCAGTACTTAAATGTTGGCTGTTGCCATGTTAAAAGTTCCCGTGCTTAATGATTTTGGTCATGTCTTACTGGCAATTCTCCTTCCTGGTAACATCCTCCTCCTGTGTGCAGTCCCTGCAAGCGTATGAGCTCCAAGGGTGCTGCGAGTTTCCTGCCCTCAGGTGCCAAAGCCAGAGTCCATGTCTGAGAGGTCTTCTGTAAAATAAAGTTCCTTTCTTGTTGGATATCGAGAGTTGTAATAAGTGTGAACTTGTACCTCACGGGTGGAAATGCAGCAGTTTGGGGCGCTGCCTGCTTACTGCCCCACTGGGGCACGCACCACCGCATCCCCCTTTGGGCTCCCCCTTTGCCTCCTGAGCCGGCTGGGGGTGTTGCGTCGGCAGCTGTTTGGGGTGCAACAGCGATGCCCTGAAGGTATGAGGTGCTGCTGCATTGGGGTAGGCATGAAGCAGAAGCTTCTGCACTAATTTCTGTTGAAGTCAAAGGGCAGGGGAGGTATGGGGGTGTTTTCTAAAAGCAGCCTCTTTTGGCTGTGCTCCTGCAGAGCCAGGGCTGGGTAGAAGTCTGTTGGGAAACACCTGCTTCCCTGCTGTCCTTCAGCAGCTGCTGGAACGAGCTTCCCCTGTCACCTGGCTGTGGCTGTGCGTTTCCCTCCCCTTCAGCTTGTAAAAGCCATTCCCTGGGGTCTGAGGAGCTTGATGTGAGCTGCAAACTGGACCAGTAATTGCCAGTGCGAGGCAGCGCCTGGTTGTTGTGCCCAGCTGGAAGGAAACTTGTTCACACTGAGCGGGGCTGAGCCTATTCTCCCCTTCTCTGCACCAGGCTCTTGCCCTTGGCTGTGCAGGGAGGGTGTTGCAGCCCAAGGCAAACTGCCAGTGTGCCAGACAGCAACCATGGGGGAACGATGTTTGGTCAGCCTGGGTAGGGCTGTGTAAGTTTCTTGGAGTAAGGCACTTCTCCTGCTTAATTTGCTTGTTCAGCAG